GGAGCAACCAAAAATTCTCACCAAAAAGCCAGAGGGATCTCAAGATACCACAGCAGTGCCACTCACAATCCACGTGATCAGGCATTTTGTTTGTTTTATAGGCAGCTGCTCAGAGAAGCTTTGAAGATCCATTAACAGAGCTGGGAAACGAGCCTGCTGGAGAGGACACACGTGATGGGGAGAGCCTGTGCACACACGTCTGCTTGCCTCTACTGCGACACCCAGAATCATGTGGTCTGAATGTGCTGTCCCTTTTGGAGAGAGCTGCAGGATCCTGTCTAATTACAAAATTTCCGCAATTAGGCCAGGTGCTTGTGATCACACAGCTGTTCCGGAAATTCCCCCATCAGCACTAGAGACCTCAAAGGATGGCAGCAAGCATATGACAGCAACCAGAGTCTGTCTTACCTTCTACACATGAGAAAGAAAAGCAAAGCCATCCACGGGACACAGCACAGCAACAAAACCACTGCCCAGCTGGGCAACTTTGGACAAGTGACTAAACTCTGAACTCAGCTCTCTGGCTAAGACTTCAAGGTTCTCCTACAAGGTAGGGGATTAACATTAGCTGTTACATTCAGCCTCTCTTTGTAACTGTCTCTAGATTGAGGCAGCGCCATATTCTAAGCCATGACTCCTACTGCAGTTTTGTCCATTTAAGCCCCAAGTGACTGTGTGATCGGGTTTGAAACAGGAAATGTCTTGTTTTAAGATGCAGTGGGCTACGAACTTCTATCCTTTATTCAAGCACCTGAGTCACAGCACTTTTACACTGCCCATGTACTCCTCTAGACCATGAGAAGAGGGACCAGGAGCTGGCTTACTGAACGAGCAGCCAGGTACCACATGAGGTTTGAAAACAAAAGAAGTGCTTTTTGATGAAGTGAATGGACTAAACTTGCTCCTGTTATCTTTGGAGATCAGCAAATACACTGCATCAAACTTTGCATATAACATCCAGCTCAAAAAACCCCTAGGTTACTAATGCAAGTTTGCAAATAGAGCAACCGTAATGAAATGGATGCTTTTTAATGATTTCCTATGATGGTGTTTATATTTGGAAGCCTTTTTCCCTACTGAAGCACTTTAATTGGAAAATGGCAAAGCCAGCCAGTTCCGATTAGCAAACACTGATGGCATTGTGCTGTAGCAATAGTGAATGTCTCCGAGTTCTCCACCGGTGCCTGCCCTCTGTGGGGACGGGGGTGACCTTTCTCTACCCAGAGCAGCCCCACTCCTCCGTCACCGGCACTGTACACATTTAGCCTTCAGATTTCTTCTCGGCTGAGACTTCTGGGAAGTGGGCTCATACCCAAGGACACCATCAGACATGCTGTGGCCTCTCACATGGGCCTGACCCCACTGTGGGTCTCCCTGCCGACCTGTCAGTGTCAGCCAAAGAACTGTGGCTCTAAGACGATTCTGGTGCCTATTCAGGTATTTCAGTGTGTCCCCTGTGCAGGTACTGTAGGATGGTGGTCCAGGTCACTAAGTCCCTCCAGCACACCGCTTGCAATCTAGCCTAAGAAACACAGACTGGTAATCGGTAAAGCACTAGTATACTCATGTACACACACAGACACACGGTTTCCTCAGTAGAGCTAAGTGGAATGAAGGGAACAAGTGTAAAAGACTGACACTGCAGTTGCAGGAAGGGGCACTAGAAAGGTCTGGGGAGGAGACGGTGGAGTAAGGGAGTGGCAAGTACACACAGCAGGACGGAGCACTCCACGTAGAACCACAGCCCATGCAGAGCTGAGGAGCCGGAGGAGTTACCGGCTGGCGTGACACCAAGAGAGAAGGCCAAGAGCAAGAAAACAAACATGGAGACTGGGAGAGGATGAGCCTAAAAGCAGGAGCCCAGGGCCTGAGGATCCTGCAGGCCATAGTGAGGAGCCGGGATGTTGCCCAGGTTTAAGCGGGGAGAATGTGGGAGTACGGCCACCTGGCAGCAAATTCTGTCCTATGTCCTAATACCTAACACTGCACCCAATGAGTTCTCCAAACAGGTGAATAAAGCTTTTCAGGTAGACAGAGCACATGTGCTGGCCCTAGGGAGAGGCACCAAGGCTTCCATAGTTCAGTCTTGCCAGGAAAGACACCATCACTAGTTACAATTTACGAATTTTTACATAAGTGACAGAATGGAAAGAAATGACTTGAAGTGAAAGACAGGAAAACGAAGCCGCCCCATTGTGCACACAGGAGGATGTAGGTGGCTACCAGGAAGGATCAGTGTGTAGACACCGAGCAGCGTCAGGAGCTCCAGGAGCCCCACAAAAAAGAAGCCCATTCACGTGGGTTTATCCCTTCATCTCTCAAGCTTATTTAATGACAAAACAGTTCAGATCACTTACTGATTCCATAAAGTAGAATCTGAGAGAAACAAATGGAAGACCAGTGCAGGGATGACCCTCCACAGCATCTGGGAACTCGTTCCAGGAGCTTGGAGCTGCTGGGATTGGAGACTGACAGGGGTGGTATGACTGAAGCATGAGGCCTTTTGGCACAGGGATAGGCTGGTGGGTGGTGGCATTGTGTATGGCTTAACATAAAGTCTAGAGTTTCAGTTCAGGTGAGTTGCAGGAAGCCAGTTTCAGCCTAAATCAAACTAACCTGAGCTCAAAGCTTGGCCCTTACACAGGGGCCTGGGGTCTTTACTCTCCAAGAGGTTCTGTCTGGCTGAAGCTGCGTATCAATCAGCGCATAGCTCTCACTGACTCTGGTACAGGTAGATCTATCTTCCCGGGCCTTTGCAGCAATCCAGCCTGCTGACCACCTCTTCCTTAGGAGGGCCTTCTCTACCCTAATGGCTTAAAACCAGGACTCCCTGTATCCCCATTTTCTCCCTCATCTTTGGCTGTCTGATTGACTGCTTCATTCATCTATTCAAACAGGATGTATAAATATATACCACATGCCAGGCCCTGCCATGTGCTCTGGAAATGAACTAGATCAAACAACTATTCTGTCCAAGAGTTTAACCAGAGGGGCAGATAAGTACACATAATTTAGAATTTCAGTGTGACATAAGAAGGGAAAAGGTGGGACAGCCCAGCACTCAACACAGGCAGGGCTTTATGAGGAGGCACATGGGGCATCACTGCCAGAGCCCCAAGTGTCAGCTGTCTGTCCATCAACTTCCATGGCTTCCTCACCACATGCAAATAAGCTCTGGCCTCCTAGCTGGTTTTCTTCACTCCAAAACACTCTCTTGACCTTTTACCTAAATATTCACTGCCTTCTGAAGCATCTCCATCCAGGTATTTCAAGACTCTTCAGAGTCCTGCCCAACAAAGCCCCTATCTACCCTCCTACTCTCACCTAGTGAAACAAAAGTAAACGAGACTCAAAGCCAAACCACCTAATCCTTTCTCCCTCCACTCCCATACTGGTGAGGCCCTGTCATCCACCCCACTGTGCAAGCCAGGCTCTTCTGGGGCACTCACAAGCACATCTCTGCCTCCGCCCTGTTCTTAGCAAATCTTGCCAACTGTGTATCTTTTCCACATCTACATTCTTTTCTAAATTAAATTTCAACTGCCACCACCCTAGTCCTAGCAGCAACTGTGTCCATTTAGGCTTCTGCACTGCTGTTCTAGCTAGTGTCCCTACTGTTCACTTTTGATCAGTGGGGTTCTCTCTCCAAATTAAGAGCTGAGTTGATCCTTATAGGTGAGAGGGGTGTGAAGAGAGATTAAGACAGTCTTATTCCTTCCCCCACTATTAAAATCTTGTTGGTCTTCGAATAAAGGCCAGGTTCTCTAACACAGTCTGTAAGACTCGGGGTGACCTGGATACTGCCGACTTCTCAGCCTCCTCCATCACACTGCAATGGTTTTTCACCTCCTCTAATACATCAGGTCCCTTCACTGGATACCTCTCCTTTACCTTTAATTACACTGATCCTCTGGATCTTAGATCACATGTCACTTGCCAAAAGCAGCCTTCCTTGAACCCTGGACCAAATCAAATTCCTCTGACACATGTTCATGGTAGCACATTTAATGATACTATCACACGTACACAGGGTTAGAATTAAATATAAAATGTATGACAGTTGTTTAAAATATCACTCCCAATGAAATGTTAACTTCCATGAAAACTCACTGTGCTCACTTTCCTCTGGTTCTTCTATCTCCTCTCTACATGTGACCATTTTCTAAGACACACTGTGCCTCCCTCTTTGGACTCCATATCCTCTCAACTACACGGATCACTTCAGCTCCCATGATGCCAAAGCCTCCTCCAACTCTCTCCAAATGTCCAGGCAGGCATTTCCAAGCAGACCAGAATCTTGCAACATTGTTAAGACATTTCACTGGCAACTTACTGCATACACATATACAACAATAAGTTTCATAATACTGTTATGTTTTTCCATTTGTTTTCATTTCTAAAATTTTTTAAGTCTTTTTTTATAACTTCAAGACCCAACAGAGGGTCACACCCTGAAGTTTAAGACACAATATACCACATATTTCCATATGGATATTTCTCTACAACCTCAAACATACTATGATTATTTCTCAACTTGTTTTTCAACTAAACTTCCTTACCAAAGATTATGATTATCCTCTTAGTCACTTAGGATCAACATGCTGAAGTTATCTTGGAGTCTTCCTTCTTACCCAATGTTGCTAAAGCTACCAGAGCTCCGCCAATGCAGAGGGTTAATGCTGTTCCACCTTTCCACGCCCACTATCACAGCCCAGACATGACTGCAAACTTGGAACCCTGCAACAGCATTTTTAATTGGTTTCCTGCTCCCAGACTTTTCACAGAGGTGATATATGCTCCAATCTCAGTATTGCCAGGGCAGAATGCCAATTCAGCTCTTCAGTTCCACTCTGACCAAGTAGTGAGTAAGGGACCCAAATGGATATGCTTTCTCCCACTCACAAACTCCTGGAATAATTCATTTCAACTCAAACTGGCCTTCTACACTGATCAAGTGAAGAAAGCAAAACTTGGGCTTAGAGCTGGCGACAGACACTCACCCATATCCGCAGTGACCATAGTGGACTGGTTTTCGGGGATGGAGAGGGAGGTCTGGTCTTGGTCCATGCTGCGAGAGTCCTCATTGACCTCATGCTGGCTCTGGCTGAGCTCTGATCGAAGTTCAGAGTATTCATCTTCCTCCCTAAGGAAAAAAGACAGTCAGCCAGCATTGGCCCAGAATGCAAGACAATCCCTAGAGATTATGTTTTTTGAAGATGAGACAGAGATATTCAGAAGGAAAACTGGTAGATGTTTCAACCCACTCACAGAGGCCAGGGTTCCCTTGGGGCTGAACAGATGGTCACATCTATGGGAAGCCAGTATGTGAAAGTGAACATGTGTCTCTGTGGCCAATGCGTATACCGCGCAAGATTCATCTATCAGGTAACAAGAAACTTCTCCCCTTCAAAGACTACTTGAAGAAACTGTATTTCTCCACTCCCTCAGATTCCAAGATTTTAAAAAGTGACCACTACCAATTAGGTTACAGTAAGAAAAATCATTAAAGAGTCTACTGACTAGCAATAATGCACCCATCATCTGGGCAATCCCACGGCATGTGGCTTCCTTCTTGGAAGAGGATACAGGGAGGTGTTAAGGTGGGAGCTACTAAGAAACCAACACAAGTCGATCAAACTGGACAGCACATCTAAGAAATACCATACTTACTGACCCTGAAGAGAGTAGAGTTAGGAGGCAGGGAAAGAGGATGGGAAAGAAGAGAAACGGAAACAATGGGTAACAATACCACTCAATGCCCATTTCCTCCCATTTGCATCTGCTAGCAGGAAGGCGACACAGAAATGCAGCCACATTTCATCTGTACCTGCATCCTCTCCTCAGTCCTGCATGAACCCTGCAACCTTTGGTCTCTGAACTGTACTATTAACGAGTTGAGAAAGTTCAGAACTGTTGTACGGATTTCAAAGCACACACATTGCCCCCTCACATACCACCACAGTCACCATGCACATAATGGATACAGGTAGGAAAAAAGCAAAAGTAACTCTCAGTCATTGATGTTACAAGTAAGCCAGAATATCATCCTGGATTTACTTGTGAAGTGCAAAGTCCACTGGGTCTGCTGAATTCCCAGGAGAGGATGTGTGAAGGAAGAGATTTATGTGAGGAGGTCTACTTTCTTGGGTTTTGAGGAGACCAAGATGCTGAGTGGTCACGGGGCCTTGGGAGAGAGATTTCTGTGTCACAGAAATTTAAGACCTCTCCAAAGTGCTTGATTCTCTACAGAAATCAACATTCTCTCAGGAAAACACTTCAGTTGCTTTATAAATGAATCCCTGCTTTATAACATACTTATATTCAGAAAACCAGAAAGATTTTAAACAAATAGGAAGCCGCCAGTCATGAAATATATGAATTAAAATGGGAGTGGTAAAGGAGAAAAAGGTTAATGTTCTATAACTACATTAATTATTAGACATATGCAGAAGTCAACAATAATTTGGTTTAGGAGAGAAAACAATTAAAAAGTACTCTCAGAAGGAGTCTTTTTGGTCTAAAGGGTAATTGTTTGTGCAGGGACATGTCAGCTCTCCTTCCAGTCAGCACTTAAGATCCTGATTTAGTTAACAAGCGACTTTGTGTATGATGAGTAAATTATCTTTACTGCATGACCAATGTATTCAGCTTCAGTGTAGCTGAGGCCTTTTTATAGCTAAGAAAGTGAGTGATAAATGCTGCTGTTCTTTCTCTGGTACAAATGACATTTGTGAAAATTTTTAACAGCCACCTTAAACCTTTCTGATTGGGCAGATTCCAAAACATACAGTTTCTGCTAAATATCCTGCTTTGTACTAAATGACTTCTAAGGATTACTAGAATGGACTTCATGAAGAAGTGAACAGGGAAGACGCAGAAGAAGGGTCAGCGCACAGGAGGAAGGTGATACCCCATTAGCAATGTGATCACAGGCATGAGGCTCTTGGTATCATGAAATGCAAATTAGGGACATTCATTCAATGCATATGAGGACCAAGACAAGGAAAAGACAACAAAGCTGGCTGGAGTCTGTATTGTAGGAGACAAAAATATTATGACCAATTCTAACCTACCAGAGGTGCTGGGGGTGGATACAGGAGCAGCAGCACCTGGGGACAGTGATCAGGGAATTCTTCCCTGAGGGAAGAAACACTCCAGGGAGGGAGAAACACTCCAGATGAGTCTGCAGTAAAATTCAGGTGGGCCACAAGGGTGGAAGAACACATGCGAAGGCCAGGAGGAGCTTTGTGTTTCTTGGTGAGGAGCTACCAAACAGGCACAGGACAGGAGCCTGGAGCGGGACTTGGGCTACTCACTAAGAGGGCAGTTTTGATCAAAAGGAGAATGTACTGTACAGTATGAAACAAGTAATCAGAGTTCGACTGTAGAAATAAATTCAGCGGAAGGAAGGAATGTAACTAAGGTCCTGTGTGGAAACAGATACAATAGAGGGAAAAGCGTGGAGTCTCTGTGTCCTGGACCCCAGGAAAGGGTTAACCCGAGCACACTGCTGCTGAAGTAGGAGACCAGGGCATGGGAACAGGGCTGGAGCAATTGGGCAAGACCAGCCAACTGGAGAGATTTGCTAACCACCTGGGCCTGCCACAAGATCAAGCTGAGCCCTGCATTCAGTGCCAATCTTCTGCCATGAGACCAAGTCAGGCTTAGCATCTGACACCAATCTTCTAGCACACAATTAAGTGGGACCACCTGGATAACCATCAAAGCGGCAATAAAAAGACGGCAGGCGCTGACTTTGTGCATCACCCTCTCATTTTCTGCAGTGATCCATTCTGCTTGCAGGGCATTACCTTCTCTTGTCTCCCTGAGTATTTCTTTTGTCTTTCGTTTCCTTTTCTCATTTTTGCCCTAAAATAAACAGCAGTTTTTCATATTCGCGATTGGAGACCTGACCAATTCACTGAACAGGACACTGAGAACCTGGTGCTCACGATTCCAGCTGATACCAATCCCTAGTAAAAGTTCTTCTGTGGTAACCATAACACCCATTCTGAAACAGTAACAACACAGGCAAAGAAAGGAAATAGTAATCAAGAGATGGAAAGCTATCTTGCACAAATATCAGAAAAAGTTCTCCGGCATAAGTAACAGAAAGGAGCCTACAGTTAGAAGATGTGGGCAGCCCTATTGTTTCTCACACCAGTTGAAAAGAAGCAAAGGAACAAAAAACCATGAAGCTGCATCTTTATCATCACCCACCAGCATCTTTCTGGAAAGAGTTTGCAACCTGACAACAGGAAATACGACAGAAACAAAATTTATCTGGGCCCTCTGTAAACTGACAATTTGTGGTTGCAGTGTACATAGTAGATTCCTGATGGGGTTTTATCATTCAGAAGCACTCGTCCAGCACGGGCAATGGAATAGGTCAGAAATACTCTGGTGGCCCAGGGAGGTTTTTCAAACGTAATGATTTTGAGTTGTACATCCAAAGCTGCTCTGCACAGACCCTGAGTCACCTACTGGGAAGGGAACTTGCTGTGAACACGGCATCAGCTTCTCAAGATGACTTTACTGGTCCTCTCCTTTTGGTGTATATATTGCAACTCCTATCACGGGGTAAATATCCCCTAAAAATATCTACTGCTAACTTTGATGACTGAAAAGAGGAAAATGTGAAAACAAAATATCCAAACAGTTGCCACATAAGACACAAAAAACAAAAGCCAAGACAAACTGATGAATGTTGATAATTATATTCTGTCCTGGACTTTGCATAATAATGGGATCACAAAGTTCTCAAGTGTCTTTCTCTGACTCACAGGATTCTAAATGTACCTGACTTCATCACTTGTAAGCATCTGTGAAGTGCCTCCAAGCTGCTTTATTTAAGCACTGTTTCAGCTTGTTTAAACAGAAAAAAATTTTCCTACACAGGCAGACATTAGACTGTGCGCACACCTCTGTAATGACCAACAGTGGCAGAAAAGTCACAGCTGGCAGCTAGGAAGGGATCTGAACGACCTATTAAGCCAGGATCAATACTTTTATTTTAAATACAGAAAATCAAAACTAACACAACAATATGCAACTAGCTAGTAGTAGAACAATCTAACTCCTAAGTTTTGTATCAATGAAACAACAGTAATATTATGGCCTAGGGAAACGATGTGTTATTACTTTTGCAAAGATTCCTTCTTATTGGGTAGGAGGAGTACAATGATCTAAGCTAAAAAAGGAAAAGTTAATGGAAGCATCATTCTTGTCATGCTTTCCAGACTTAGGCTGAAGTACTATGGAGTCAGCAACTCTTAAACAAAATGTCACATCACTGAGCATCCTCAGATGTCCTTCATTTGAGGATGCACATCATGTCTTTTTATTGGGTTGTAATGAATTGGGAAGACAAGTCAGTTGGTTATGTCTGTCCATCTTAACAGCTGTCAGTCAACTGTGGTTAGTGAACCCAGCATACTTGACCAAGTACAGTTTAGTCTGAACTACATTGTGTTTCTTACAGCTATATACAGACTTGTACTGAAATGGCTAAGCTTACTTTAATGAAGTAAGTAATATTTTAGATATAGACAGGAAATATATTCCTTCCAGGTCTCATAAAAAACTATCACAGGAAGCAAGGAAGGAGTAAAGTATACATTTTTCCTTCTGTTCTGCCTCCACTTATTCTCCCACAAAGCACAAAGCAGAGACAGCAAACCTTTCAGAGCTTTCAATAATAGTCAGCTGCAGCTCGCAGGTCGTGGGTTCACCACCACTGGCATACAGCAAAGTCAGACTCATCTGCAAATCTTCTGATGAAAAAGCGAGCAAATGAGATTTTGAAATTCTCTTCTAAGGCTGTATTAATCCATCCTTGTCATAATAAGATCTGATAAAAGATCCCCACACAAGAAGTTGAAAAAACTGAATGAGAGTTTATGCATATCATAGAAGGAAAAGGCAGGAAGAAATATGACTTTTCTTTCTTGGTTTTATTTTTATTTCATTATATTTTACTTGTAAGGCCATAACAATCGGAATGACATGTTTTGCTGAAAGATAAAGAGTCTTTGATTATACTGTGTTTGAGAACACAGCACACGGGGTCAAACTGTAATTCAAAAACCAATAGAAAAACCAGGCTCCTGCATTGCTCTGAAAGCTTAGGCATCAGACAGACTC